AACACCTCAGCCTAGATAATGACATCTCGGCCAATATGTCAGGGCAAAGGTGGAGGTCAAACAAAGTGGTTCCAAGATAATTCTAGACTGAAGATGACCTCGGCTAAACTCACACCAAGCAAGGTACAAAACATGCGAGAAACACTTAAGCAAGACAAATCAAGGTTTGCAAAGATGCAATATATCAAGACAAGATCATGTAATATATGCAAGCTTGACTAGGGTAGAGTGAGGGTCTTTACAACTATGCTATGCTATTTCCACAGCCTAAGTATTGACTGCTTCCATATGCACCTCACTAGGTGGGCCCAACGTGTGAGTTGGTGCAGTGCCACCAAAAAGGTGTGGAAATAGTGGTTCTCCCTTGAAAATTGTTGAAGATATACCCCAAGCAGGGAGAAGGAAAAGAGGAAAGACTACTAATATATATATATATACCAAAAGTGAAGGAAAGAAAAACTTATCACAAACCTGAAACCTCTTTAAAGCAATTGTAAGAATGTCTGGGGCCCTTCAAACAGTAACACGCTTCCATGCCATGACATACTCATTGCATCTGCAAAGAGATTGGCTTATTACGATCTTAATACCATTGATTTAGTGGTGTTTACAACAGAACATTTGCGGCAATATGTTTACAAGTAATCATTTATATTAATAATTATTACTACATTAGTGGAAAAATCAAACCCCCACAATGGGATATCATTGAATTGGTCCTTCTTCACTAGGAAAAAGAGTTGGCATCAGTAAAGGTTCAAATTCAAAGACAAATAGAACTATTGTGTCCTGATGTACCATATATAAAAAATAAAATAAAATAAAAAAATAAAAGGCCACGCTAACGAGAGCCCTATGAGCTGTCATTAAGGTGGAGATCATGCCGAAATAGTTATGGGTCCCAATATATAAAACTATTTTCATACTGATTTGAAACATTATTGCATTTTGAACAAATCACCTGGGAAATAAGAGAGAGAAAAAAAAGGAATTAACACATTCAGGACAGAATCAAAGAAAAATGGTTATAGCTAGATGCAAAAACTATTTTCATACTGATTTGAAACATTATTGCATTTTGAACAAATCACCTGGGAAATAAGAGAGAGAAAAAAAAGGAATTAACACATTCAGGACAGAATCAAAGAAAAATGGTTATAGCTAGATGCAAAAACTATTTTCATACTGATTTGAAACATTATTGCATTTTGAACAAATCACCTAGGAAATAAGAGAGAGAGAAAGGAATTAACACATTCAGGACAGAATCAAAGAAAAATGGTTATAGCTAGATGCAAAAACTATTTTCATACTGATTTGAAACATTATTGCATTTTGAACAAATCACCTAGGAAATAAGAGAGAGAGAAAAGAATTAACACATTCAGGACAGAATCAAAGAAAAATGTTTATAGCTAGATGCAAAAACTATAGGGCACACAACGTTATATGGGTGTTTGGGAAATGGGTTTTTATGTAAGTTTTTTTAGTTGTAGGATATTATTGGATAAATTTTTTTTGGTGTTTGGGAAGATAGTTGGGTTTTTTTGTGGTTAGATGTGATGTTTGTGAGAGAAAAAGTGAAATGATTATGGGGTTGGATTTGATATTTTGTTTGGATTTGTTTTTTTTTTTTGGTTTTGCAAAAATTTTATCATTTAGTGAAAAAAATAAAAAAAAAAACCCAAACCCAAAACTTGCCAAACACCACCTATAAAACAACAAATTCACCTCAAGTCTAAGTGTGACGGGTTATAACATTTGAGGCACAACCACGAAGTGAACTGTCACTCCTCGAGGCTTGCCTTATGCCCAGTTATGATCTAAACAACTACACCAGCTTCTAGTAAGCAATTAAAATTCTTTTCCCTCATAGTTTTATTGATTTATTTCAACTAACATTCTATTTATAACTATGTAGCACATTCAAAGTTTTTAAAGCCCATTCAGCTGTTATTTGACACCAGGAATTGCCAGATAAAACAAAGTCAAGGGACAACAAAGCCACATATGACTGAAAGAAAAAAGAAATAACATTATCATGATGGATATGCTGGAATCATAAAATAATTATGTTAAGAATCTACCACCTGCATGCTCAACCAGAGTAGAAACAAGAATGGGTAGATCCTAGATACTTGCAAGTCAACAGAATGTCAGAATCTATAACGGTGCATTTCACAGATTAATATCAAAACCTCAGTGTAATTGCAAGCTACCTGAGATTGGAGATGACCCCCAAATATATGTTGAATAAGGGTTGTTTCTTGAGTGCTAGGATGAAGGGCCTTCTCTCCCCCAAATTTATCTAGGCACACTGATTGCATAGTATCGATAGCAAACCTGCAAAATGAATGAACTTAAGGCTCCATTTGTTTTGACGTAAAATGTTTTTGTCTAAAAAATTTAACTCATTTTCTGTTGTTCAGTTGAACAAAAAACAAGTAAAATATTTTTGAAGGAAAATATTTTTGCATCATTTTCTCAAAAATGACTTACCTTTAAAAATTTTGCAAATCAAGTTTTACAAAGTTAACTCTCACTCACTACCTTTTCGACATGTTTAGCCTATTCAAATAAATATCTTAGCTCACTAAAAAATCATAAATGACACTTTATTGGATCAAAATTTCTCTTTTAGGCACTAAAATGTTTTTGTTTCAAGTGTTAACCAAACGCCGAAAACCAAAAAGAAAAATATTTTTTCTATGTAAAATCAATTTACAAGAAAAATATTTTTTTGTGAAAATATTTTATGTTGAAACAATTGGAGCCTAAATCAAAATGAAACGTGTAAAATTTGTTATTGAAATCAGTAAAACTTTATCATATTAAACCAACACTGGCCATCAAATACATGAGGGTTCATGATAAAGTTTTCTTTATAGATAGAGACAAACTACGTTAAACTAGGAGTAAAGCAAGTAATAGGACCTCATGAACTCATGTGCATCCTCTTGTTTTCCATAGCCAAGGTCACCACCAATATTAGGTAACCGCGAGAGAATATTAATTGGTGAAAAGGGATGCCGACTTTCACTGGATCTTTCGACATGGGTTTGAAATTCACAAAGGAAGCACTAATCATTCCGTCTGCCTGAGCAACAAGAAACAATAAACAAAAGAGTGGGAAATTGTTTGATCATCCATAAAATATAGGCCACAAAAAGTTCTGGTCTGCATTTACATTCTTTTCGATGGCCTTTCTCCAACAAATAGGCAACAAGGGGCCGAGTGTACACAAGACATTATAGAACCACATTAGCAAAACAGCTGCACAAATACAATTACAATATAGCACATTGTGAGTTAAAACTGGATACTTAAGCATGTGCACTTTATGCAATTAAAGCTCTCAAGCTAGTGAAACCATCTGAACAATAAGTTTAGAACAAATAATGGAATGGAAAACACAGACCTATTTCCACAATCAAGAAGCCCACATGGAGGAAATCCTCGCTTGTCCCAATTAAATAGTTCCACAAAATCCTCATAGGGGAAAAGAATCTGAAATGTTACTGCACATTACTGGTGTCCTTCCCAACCAAAAGGCATACTAAAATATATGATTATAAAGATTAATAAAAAGGAAATTATTTACCTCTTTTGACTGTTTGGTAATATTAACGGTTCCACTGGAAGGAACTAGTGCAACTGCACTAGAATCTCTCTGTCCATGCTGCATATATGCAGACTGCATTGATTTGACCTGCCCAGATAATTGAAAGTCCTTGCATTTTGTCTTATGCCCAGATTTCCAATGGGAAGTTTGACAAGCACCAGAGCTGGGATAATGGAAGAAAGATTTAAAACATTAAAAACTCGTATGAAATATATAAAGGCAAACCTAGCAACAAGTCACGTGCAAGAAAGCAAGAAGAGAAGATCAAACTCTTATGACAAAGAAGTGGGAATTAAGACGAAGCAGCAATACATAAAACCATAGGTTAATTACAAAAGATCCTGAGGTTAATTCCAAGAACAGAAAATAATACAAGAAACTTAAAGAGGAATAAATAAAAACAGAAAGTGCTACCAAATAAGCTTATAGCAATTATCTCCTGAACAAAAAAACAAAAGCAAGACACACACTGAAATTTCTTCCGTGGGAGTCACTTCTCAGGGTGTGTTAACGAAGGAACAAAAAAAGGTCCACATAAAAAAGAAATGTCTACCCAGAAGGATCAAAATGATTAAGGTCCTTATTCAGACTAGTTACAGATGATTGCTGACCAACCTAAAACTTCTAACTAGCAGCGTTTTTTTTTCTTTTTTTGATAAGTTCATCTAATCCAATATCAAATCCATACTATTACTTCAATAGTAAACAGTTATCGAGAATGGTTCTGTCCTCACTGTTCATCAAATTTTATAAAGCAAAATTTAATGTTTGAGGAAGAAAGGCAATTTAAACCTTTGGCAAAATATCACCGACAGTTGTACAAATAACATCAGTTGTTTAAAGCCAGTAGTTTCCTTTTAAGGACATCCTGCCACATGAAAAGGCTTGTCTCTTCAATTTGAAAGAAGCGAACTGGATTGGGACACAATGATAAATCCAGGTTTTCAAATTAACCGGCTGAGCTGCTCAATAAGTAGCCAATCTGACTCTTTAAGGTGAGGGTAGAGCTTATCAACAGCTATGGCATGCTTTTAGGACATTAACTGAAACATAAACTTTAAACTTATTGACAAGTATAGCTAGTACTGTACTGCCTACATCCTCACTTCTATTCAATATATACTTTGAAAATGAATTTATTTATTTTTTCTCAAGTAACTCATACAGTGTATCTAGAAATGTTTTGCACCAAATTACCATAGCACAGAATCTAAAACCGTGGTTGGCAATCAAATTAAACAAATCAAAAAACAATAGTCGCCAACACATAAAATTCCTATCAAACTAAAACTTACAGCTATGTACTTTAATACTTCTCTCATATCTTTGCCTTCTTTATAAAGGATGCATCTTCTTTTCTATCTCCATTTCATTCAATTTACCTCCTTTTAGAACAGAAAAAGAGAAATAAACATAAAAAAGAAACATATTTTAATACAGCACGGAGTAGTAATAGATCGTGATGCTCTTTCTAAAACCTTCCACTCTTCAATCTTGGAAAACGAGATACTATGTCATCTGGAAAAGAGGGAGTGCCTGGCTTTTTCGATGCAGCCTTCACCTATCATTATACGAAAAGGTTTATAGTCAAAATTTTAAATAAAATTACCACGACAGTTTTAAGATTCAATATATGATATTTCTAGATCTTCATTGAAGCAACATTGACATTTAAGGACTGCTTGATAGATGTCGAGGGGGCATACCATGATACTACCAATGGAAAGGCTTATAATTTTTTAGACTTCTGTGGAATGAATTAGCATTTCAAAGTTAAGGTTCTACGCATTTTTCAATCCATGCGAATGTGCATACATGGATTGCTTCAACTAAGAGTTCAGCTTACTGTAATTCTTTTTCAAATTGAATTTTTTAAATGAAAAACACCAATGCTTAAGACTCATGTCATGCATCCTAGACGTATATGTTAGGAAGTTAAAAATGAAAAAACCAGGCTTTCACCATTTAAACACTATTTGAAATAAGGAGGGATAGGAGAACAACAGTCCACACAAATCATAGCTTTAAGATGATTCCCAATTGACCACCCTTTTAAAAATCCAAAGCTACAAAGGTACTAACCAACCAAGTGGAACTCTTTCATCAAGCATACAAAACTTACTTTGTCCCTTATCAGGAGTGACACTGCAATCCTACCAAGTACATCTTCTATCCTTAGTCCCTTAGGAACACCATCTGCAGCAAAATAATGAGTGAAAACAAAAAATTAATACCAGACAAAAAAAAAAAGAAGAGGCGAGAGAGAGAGAGAGAGAGAGAGAGAGAGAGAGAGAGAAATTAAGGTCATAAAAGATGTAGAAAGAGCAGCAGAAAAACTAATTATAAGGGACAACCTGATCAGTGGGTGCACTTACTGATCACTTGTGGTAACTGATTACTAGTTTGAGAATCAATATCCATGGAGCATGGGCTTGGTATATCGAGAACCTTGGCTTCAATCTCCGGCTCTTCAATAGGAGTCTCATTTGCTTTTGTGTCACCCTACAATAATATCAAATAATAAAGAGAAACCATATGAGTTAAGTATTGCTTCATTGCAATTACCTAAGAATGCAATTTATGCAGTCTATTTCGCTAGCAACTCTTTCATATAGAACCATATTCAGAGTTCGTAGCGATTAACTCACATAGGAAGATGAAATAAACAAACCGTCAAACAAGAATTAGGATGGTATGCTTTTGATTTTTGGTTAACATAAATATCAAAAAGAAAATAAACCTAAACAGAAAATAAATTGCTTCATTTTTCTTTGGCTGGTCAAAAAGTATTTTGGAAATTCCAACCAAACCGTGCCAAAATATTTTTTCCAACATTAACACACCAACGAGAAGAATATGCAGGAAGTAAAACTTGTGAATGAACTTACAAAGACTTCTTTTTGGTATTCTGTGTTTAGTAATTTCTCTAGAAAAAGAACCATTTTCTTGATAAATTCAACCTGTCTTCTCTGCATCTCTCTATAATGATATAATGACGAAGAATCTTGAAATAACTGTGATCGGTTTGCAACGCCAGGTGCTCTGTTTGCAGCATCAACTGCTAAATCATTCCCAACAACAGTTCCTTTTGTCTCATTCATAGGAGTTTCAGCATTAACCACATTTGCACCATCTTGTGATTGAGATGCTCCTGGTACAGGGAGAGTTATAACCGGAAGATTCAGCTCCTGACAAATAACCTCTTGAACCTTCAGGTCCTTGTCATCAACAATAGCTTGCCACCTTCCATAGCCATGCCTTCACATCCAACCATATTAGTTATGAACATAGATTGTTAATATCTATCATATATAAACTATGAGCACTTATCTTACGACTAATCCTATCAAAGTTTGGGCTTGTTTGGTGCAGTTTATGGAGCTTCTTATAGATTTTTTATTTGCAAATTTGTGCCAGAATGTTTGGTGTTTGGCACTCACATAAAACATTGGGGGTGTGACATGCTATGGAAATGCGACTTGCCCTATAGTTCTGGAAAAATAGTGCACATGACACAGACATTTACTCATAAACACACAAGTACTTCCATAGACGCATAAATTCACAGATAAAAAATGTATTTCTTGTCACGTCTTTGTATTTAGTCAAAATCCACTTTTGGAATTATTCAAGTTCACAAGGCTTGAGCTCATCCAATGACCATTTTATTTGTAACGCCCTCAAAATAATACATAAAACCCCACATTCTTGACATGCATTGATATAAGAGAAATAAACACTTTTCCATTCATCAGAGTAGTCCTTACAAATGTATTACATGTTGACAACAAAAGTAAATGCACGACGGCTTACAACTTTCCAAGCCAACACTTGGTTATACAAAAGAGAGTACTAACTCATATCATATTAAGCCCTTGGCCTGTATTTACATGTAATACAACAAAAGATAACAAAACAACAAAAGGAGTCTTCAACTCTCAAAACCTTCCAAGCTATGTCCTTGGAGGTGGCATATCACCTGGACCTGAAAATGATATCCCATATAGGGTGAGCCACAGCCCAGTAGAGATATACTAAACCAAATATAAGCAACGACTAAAACAATAGCATGTGATAGATGGTTAACACTTATAAACCAGTTATATCACAACACAGTTCCATGACACTTGTGTCCATGTTACATTTCATTTTCCTTTACTTACCCGAATCAATTCACATACATGGCTCAGAACCTGGCCAAACAATTCAATGAGACTATAACTCATATACTAACACTTCCATATTTCACAATGGATACACATATTTATTGTATCAATACTTCAATTTAATACACATATTTGCTGTATTAATGGAGTCCATCCCCTATCTCCTCCCAAACAGGTTTGAGAGTCCATCCCTTATCTTCTCTCAAACCATGGAGTACATCCCCTATCTCCTCCCACACATTACACATATTCCAAGTATACAAACAATTATCATATACAAGGATCACTCAATGCACATATTTGATGTATTATTCCAACTGTCATATTCGATGACATATTTAATGTGATTAGTTTCGGTTTTCTCTAATCAACATGCAGTATCTACAACAATCAAGATTATCCTCCACCAACAGCCCAAAACAGTTATTTCTAAACAGATAATAAATACATTAATAGATATAATATCAACATTTTCATAGGTGAGTGATAAATTAATCCAACTACACCATTTAATCCCATAATTTCCCAATTTCATTACTCTCAACTCAATTTCACATTTTCCCAAATTAATTATTCATTACAATTAGGGCATTTTCCCCATTTTTCCAATAATAGCCCTAAGGCTCATTTGTCTCCCATAATCCATAAACAACCTCTATTTCAAGTCTATATCACAAATATGACTCAAACATGGAAAACCCCTCTTTTAAAAATTACAAAACAAACCCTAACTTTTTCCAAAATTACCCAACAACCCCAACATATCAAAATGCCCAAAATTTATGACAAAACTCATAAGATGGAGTAGGGTATCCTTACCTTGAAATGAAGAGCTCAAATGGAGAAAATAACCAAAACCCGAAGTGCTCCAAATCCGAGATTTTTCAGATTAAAACGAAGCCCAAGCCACCCTCTATCTTTCTTACAAAGGACTTAGGGTAGAAACACACTAAAACTAGAAGAATCCCTAGAGAGAGAGAGGTCGGATCTAGGGTTTGTAAAACAAAAGAGATGAAAAAGTGAAGTGTTTACCCGCTGCTGTCTACTGATATAACACAGACTCGCTCGAGCGAAGGATTGGTCGCTTGAGCGACCAGACACATGGAACTCTCGCTCGAGCGTACAAAGTCTCGCTCGAGCCAAGAATGCGAAGCTTCAGGCCTGCAACCCAGAAGCATGCTCGAGCGACAGAATTCTCGCTCGAGTGAAGAAACTCAAAACATACACCTCGCTTGCTCGAGCGAAGGAAATCTCGCTCGAGCCAAGAAATGCAGCTCTCAAGTCTAGAATCAGACGCAGACACAAGCTCGAGCGAAGGACTTCTCCCTCGAGCCACCAGATACAAAATTCAACTCTCGCTTGAGCGAAGGAACCCTGGCTCGAGCGAAGGATCTAAAACACAGAGCTCGCTCGAGCGACAAAGTCCTCGCTCGAGCGAAGACACCAAAAACTGGGCAGCAACCATTTGTTCCCAATCACACCAAACCTGTAACAAACCTGCCCAACACATCCTATAACTCAAAAATAAGGAATCAAAGGCTAACATCACGATATATACAACAACAAGCTCCACGGAACCTAAGTCCGAATACAACAACCAAATGGGGAAAGACCGGGATCACTATAACCTCCCCCTATAAACAATTTCGTCCCCGAAATTAAGTACGAGTTTTCAAAAGCAAGTTTTTCTCAATTCTCAACAACATTGAAATTTAAAATTTCAGAACTTGACCCATTACCGGTCATTCCATCTCTATTCAAGAGGCATATTATAATACATATTACAACATGAATTTCTTTCAAATCCAACAATTTCCACAATACATGATTCACAATTTCATATCATATTCCCTGTTCATGATACATTTCCATTCCTACAACACATTCAACATATACAATGTTATAATAAACTTCCATTTCAAGGCAAGTTCTACAATACTTCCATAAATCGAAACATATACAATAAATACTCAAACATCCACAAATAGATCCGGATATTTCTCTCGGACCTCCAACTCACGTTTCCAAGTGGCTTCCTCTACCCCATGATGTTTCCACAAAACTTTTACCAAAGGAATAGTCTTGCCTCGCAAAACTTGATTCCGCCTATCCAAGACCCGAACCGGTCTCTCCTCAAACGAGGCATCCTCATCTACCTCTAAGTCGGTCCAATGCAATACATGCGACGGATCCGGCTCGTATTTCCAAAGCATACTAACATGAAACACGTCATGAACTCTGGACAATTGCGGCAGCAAAGCTAAACGATAGGCAACCTCGCCAATCCTCTCAAGGATCTCAAAAGGGCCAATAAATCGAGGGGACAACTTCCCTCTCTTACCAAATCTCATCAAACCCCGCCTAGGTGATATTTTCAAGAAGACATGATCACCCACCTCAAATACCAAAGGCCTCCTCCTACGGTCGGCATAACATTTCTGACGACTCTAGGCTATAATAAGTTCAATTTTCTCCGTCGTTTCCCTCACCAACTCTGGGCGCAACAAAGGTGCATCACCTACCTCAGCCCAACAAACTGGAGACCAGCCATACAAGGCCTCAAACGGTGCCATACCGATACTCGACTGAAAACTATTGTTGTAGGCAAACTCCACCAAGGGCAAGTGCCTCTCCCACGACCCACTAAAGTCAAGGAAACAACCCCGAAGCATATCCTCAAGGATCTGAATAGTACGCTCGGACTGCCCGTCAGTCTGAGGATGATGAGCTGTGCTAAAGGTCAACTTAGTGCCCAATGCACTCTGCAAACTCTGCCACAACCTCGCAGTAAAATGTGGATCTCTATCTGAGACGATCGACACTGGGATCCCGTGCAACCTCACTATGTCCCGAATATGCAAGTCGGCAAGATGATCTACCGAATCTCTCACGCGCATAGGGATAAAGTGCGCCGACTTAGTCAACCAGTCTACAACCACCCAAATAGCATCACTACCCCGCTGAGTCCTCGGAAGACCTACAACGAAGTCCATAGTGACATACTTCCACTTCCACTCGGCAATAGGCAAGGGTTGTAACAAACCCGCTGGCCTCTGATGCTCGGCCTTCACTTGCTGACAAGTAAGGCACTTAGACACAAAAACTGCCACATCTCTCTTCATGCCCCTCCACCAAAACTGGCGACCCAAATCGCAATACATCTTAGTGCCTCCCGGATGCACCGCAAGGCGTGAATGGTGAAACTCTTGGAGTACCTCCTCTTGGCAAGACTCTGGTATAAACAAACGGTCTCAGTGTCTCACACTCAGGTCGGGACACACAAACAAACCCTTCTCAACTTTCCCACTGGAGTTCTTCTCCCGGAGGGATTCTACCTCAAGGTCACCTCTCTGTGCCTCTAACACTCGAGTCACAAGTGTAGACTGCGCAACAACAGAAAACAAGGCCGCAGCCTCAATAGATTCGCCCAGAAGCAAATCAAACTCGCCAAGTGCACCCAATATCTCCCACTCCCGGATGGCTATACAAGCTACATCACTAATGGATTTTCTGCTAAGGGCATCGGCTACAACATTGGCCTTCCCCAGATGGTAATGCAACTCAAAGTTCTAATCCTCAATAAACTCCATCCACCTCCTCTGCCTCAAGTTCAAGTCTTTCTATATAAACCGATACTTCAGACTCTTATGATCCAAGAACACCTCGAATCTCTCACCGTAAAAGTAATGCCTCCAAATCTTCAAGGCAAAAATCATAGCTGCTAACTCTAAGTTATGTGTAAGGTAATTCTTCTTGTGTATTTTCAACTGCCGTGAGCCATAGGCTACCACTTTCCCCTCTTGCATCAACACACAATCCAAACCCTCTCGTGAGGTGTCACGCCCCAAAATTTGGACAATTAAATATTAAATTAGGACTAAACCCCAAACAATATTCCATCATCCAAATCCTAGGGGTGAAACAAAAAAAAAACTAAAACGCCAACTAAACCATCCACCATAATTTCATAAACTATCTAATATACCCAGCGTTACAGTAACATTAAATACTTCAAAACAACTTAAATAATGTAAGGTTACAACCCAAGCCAAATTATCCAAAATACTAAGGTCATTAAAAAAAAAATAATTA